GTTCATGTATAGTGACGTGTTTCATTCAAGTGATTGCTCAACGATGATCGTAATGTGGTGATTTGGTGTATGCACGACCGATCTTTACGGAATCCGACCTGTTGATCTCTAAGTTGAAGATCTACTGAATCTTCCATTCTGTTGAGCAACGCTCTGTTGAAAACCTTTCATGTACTTACAGTGGTGTAATTCTCATGTAGTTCTCACATTTGCTCTGGTTTTCCTTCTTTGACATCTTGCTGAGTTGTCCTTCTTTCTAGTCCGTCTTCACTTGTTCTTCCTCCGAAATGTTCCTCACTATAGTGTGGAGCATGTTTGTGACTTTAGTGCTTCAGCTTATATATTGTCAAGTCATGCTGCTCGCCCTCTCTTTGTTTATCAGATGCTTTCGTGGTAAGATAGCAATCTAAACATCTTTTCGATCTTTAAAATTTACAGTGAAATATACTGCATTTATGACCATTATGTGAAAATTGAAATGTTCGTCACTGACCTGCCTACATTATTTCTTTTCATTTTGGCTATAAACTAAAGTTAAAAGAAAATTTGCATTCTTATGGTAGTCATATACTTTTACATTCAAAGAGAAAACAGTACTTATTGCGACTAATTATAAGTAATAATAACTACTTTATTTGAGTTTCTTAGAACTTATTTAGAATATAATGTACACGAATTTATTTGTAATTACCGTAGTAACTATTTTGGCAGGACAGAAAGGAACGTATTCGTCAGATTTTCTAACCAATTTCCAAGGAACCTTTCTTTAAAAACTAAGAAAGTCTTCAAAATTCAAACTTCTTGACACTTAATGTGTAGTTTATATAAAGTGGGTATCAATTATGCATTTAAAAATAATAATTAATCAACCACTGACATCACTCTTGCTTCATTTTGCAGGTAACATTACTATTAAACGTTCCCGAACTATTCTCTACATACAGATGTAATGCCTGAAAAGCCTTTGCTTTGATTATCGTAATCCTAATCAAATTACCCTTTAAAACCTCTCAGTCTTATAAACTTTAATATCTTTCACATGATCTTATTGATAATGATATTGATTTGATTTTGTTTCTAATTTTTTGTTGGGTAGTTACACAATTACTTATTAATTTAATAGAAATTATATAGTCTTTTTTTCTTAAATGTGACTAATAGTAACTGTGACAACAAGCCCTTTACTTCCGTATATTTTAAGACATCTCAATCTTAACCATATTTATTCATAAATATTTTGTTGTGTTCTGATTATGGTATTTGGTTCCATTTCAAATATTCAGGCAAACTTTACTAATTAAATTATGCTGGAACCGTCGTTTGGAATTATGCTAATCATTGTAATTTCAGGCTTTTTGCAATTGATATGAACCCATCAATAGGAATGGATTACTTTTGTTCTATAAACTTATTTGTTCTTGTTCTGTTTAAACTTGTCAAGGGATCTAACAGTAATAAACACAATAAATCAGTCTGGGAGCATCGTGGTTAACACATAATTTTCAACTAGAATAGCTCAATTCGGTTGAACATGATATTCGTTTGAAAAAAAAAACACAAGTTTTCATAATTTTGAGATTTTTTTGAAAGAAAATTCTTCTGCGTATCGTGTTGCTGATAGTTTGGTGATATAATACTATTGAGCCACAGAATTTCAGTAGACTGATTTGTTGGCTAAAAAAAATGTCGAAGTACATTCAAGTGTATACATTTAAGCTACACGTAAACGTTTCTAGGCTAATGACAAAGAAAAGAATATTTTGAATTTGTAAACTACACAAAATAGAGTTACATTTCATTGTGATAAAATATGTCTAATTGTAAATGCAGTTGAAATACAATGAGTGAATTATTTGTTTCGCTTACTTGTTAGAGGTCTATAATATTAAAAGACTAATAATTGAATGAAGAATATTCTTTTTGAGAAATTCTCTTCAGGTTCTACAATTCAGATCTTCAAATTAATAATCTGAAAAATGATCAGGTTAAGGGTAAACTACATCGTTTAAAAATAAAGCAAGTGAATTTAAAATTGTCAAACGAAATAGGATCAAATTGTTAGTGTTGATATGACTCATATAGAATGTTAATTTGAGTCAGTTTATAAGTTAAGTGAGGGTACCTAGCCTGTCGTATGCCCTGATGGTGTTCTCGTAACTTACGGGTTGCCTGATCTGCCAAGGGCGATGGGACAGTGCATGACGCTATTGTTGTGTGCCAGGTTCAAAGAGAATTGTATGCTATATGCATGCAAATCCGCCCCGCTATTGTTCCATATTGTTCCTATATGTTAAGTGAAGATTTAAAATCCATAATCCGAATAAATTTGGGTCAGATAGGATGAGAGAAATAATAGTGCAACTACAATTTGGTGGAATACCATATTGTGTGAAAAATTAATAATTTCAATAGTTGAGATCATTAGTTAATTGAAGCTAGACCATCGTGGAAAACGTGGAAGCACTGAACGACCGAAACCTATAGGTCCTGTGTTCGAATCTCGCGAGGTGAGATTGTGGATGTGCACTGCTGAGGAACTCCACAATAGGACGAAATGGTTGTCTAGTACTTCCAGGTTTTCCATGACAGTCTAGCTTCCATTGGCTCATGATCTGTACTATTGAAATTACTATAATATCCACAAAAACCTCTTCTGATAAAAATTAGTAAGACCTATTAAGGAGGAATGAATGCGAAGTGAATGAATCATGTATTGGGGAGATGAATAATGATGTTTAACGATTAGTAATGATAATAGTAACACAAAGATTTGTAAATAAAGATAGCAGAGAAAATTACATTTGATTACGAAATGTCGTAAATACAATAGTTAAATCATGTCATTGAATAGCTAAGATATCTAACATGGTGGCCTTTTTGAACATCTGGACTACCTGTTCCTGCCATCTAGATATCTCAACAAGTTATCTGATTCTGTGCGTTTCCGGAAAATGTACGATCTTTCGCTGTACAAGTTACAATACGCCGAATCAGAGATATCGTCGTTGCTGGCAATATGCATCGAAAAGAATGTATATTATTTAGATGTCGATTGACTGGACTGCTAACATCTAACTAGCGATCACTCAATATTTATCGTCACGATCGACTAAGAAATAAGAAATGGAAGCTTGTTGGAATATTTTGTGTTGAGAATTCTATGTTGTAAAAAAAATATAGTATTGAATAAAGTCATTAATAGTAATTATCTATATTTTATCATTATCAATGTGTCTTTCTTGTAAATAGAAAAGTCATTAATTCTTCCTAAAGTTTTCCATTCTCAAACATCACTTGTGCTCAGCTCAGTTTTTCAATGAGTAGTTTGATAATCATTAAAAAAAGCTCAAATGTTTTATAACTTTCAGGATGTATATTTATCAATAATGAATAGGATATTACAAACAGAAAAGAGTTACATTTATAAAGTACCCTTCAACTAATAATTTGAGAATTTAATAAAGTACACTAATCCATACTAATACTAATACTACTGAGTGTTACTATGACAAATCTAAATGAATTACCACTTAAATGGAACTTATAACATACGCTGTAGTGATGGTGAACATAGGTGAGGACAGCCAAATAATATTATAGCATGAAGCCATAGAGTTACTTGGTAAAATTGAAAAATCATACTCTAATATTTCATTTGTAAAATGTTTATTAATTGTCTCACACTTCATTGTTCCTGCATTTCTATACTAATAGTTTTCTATTCTAGTTCTTCCGTTCTCAATCATCTGCAGCCAGACATTATATTCCTCACTCGCATTATATACTACTTATGTCGATATAAATAGCACAAACACACACATAAACCACAATACGAATTCTATTATTTTTCTTTCTAAATTTATATTTTCTCTTTTAAATATATCCCCAAAATGGTGGTAATATATTCTAGTCTCTCATTTTTTGTTTTCCTATATCCCCACATAATTCAGATCATTGTTGTTAAATATCTTTATTATTTACAAAATCTTGCATTGATTTCATTCTTATCTTTATTTTAAAAAAAGAAACATGTATACATAAATAGACTTTGATAATCTATGTGTGAGTGTATTGTTTCGCCTTTCTCCTTCCTTTTTCTTCTTTTTTTCGATCATTTATCTAATTTTTTCTTTCTACGTTTAACAACATTTTAATATAGAATAGAAAAGAAAAAAAGTAAATAAAAAAAAGAGAAAATGAACATCAAAAAGAAAAACAAACAAACAAAGAAAAATGAAAGAACAAAACTGTATTTCTGTCAAAGTTAATATTCAATAACAAAGATCTAATTAATTTTTTATCATTCATTAGAGATTAGATAATTAGAGAGAGAAATGAAATTACAGTTCTATTTGAATAAATAATAATTATGCTACATAATGAATTGTATGATTACGATTATATAGATTATCAGTATTATTATGATTATTGTTTGGCAAAATCTACTTCCTTAATGATGTCTAAACATTTATCATTCTATATATATATATATATATATATATATATATATATATATATTAATCCATTTAACTTATTCATGCATAGATTATTCAAAGAATAGATATAATGTTTATTGCTGTTTTACTGAACTACTCACTGAAGAAATACATGTATGTGGTACAAGAGATAACAATATATAGATCATATAGAAACTAATGACTTGAGATTAGATCTTCCTAAAAGTTAATTAACATTTTCTTGAATAATAACACGTTGATTAATTCTAGTGACATTATGATACATACTACTATTTAGGTTTGTATTATAATTAAATTGAATGGATAATGTGCTTTTAGTGTTGTTGTTGTTGTTGTTTTGTATTTTCTTTGATTTTTAAGTATATTTAATGTTTTGAATGTATTATTATAGTGTATAATCTTTTATGAAAGAATCTAGTTATAAGAATACATTATATTGGAGTTAAATATGAAAGTTCATTTCCCGTTTTTTTAATCATTATGAAAGAATGGTGATGATGATGACGATGCTTTGGATGATGATCATGATGATGATAATGATAATGATGATGATGATGATGATGATGATGATGATGATGATGATGATGATGATGATGATGATGATGATGATGATGATGATGATGATGATGATGATGATGATGATGATGATGATGATGATGATGATGATGATGATGATGATGATGATGATGATGATGATGATGATGATGATGATGATGATGATGATGATGATGATGATGATGATGATGATGATGATGATGATGATGATGATGATGATGATGATGATGATGATGATGATGATGATGATGATGATGATGATGATGATGATGATGATGATGATGATGATGATGATGATGATGATGATGATGATGATGATGATGATGATGATGATGATGATGATGATGGGGAGGAGGAGGAGGAGGAGGAGGATTTATTAACTATACATTTAAATACGATTAGTTAATTAATATAAAGTATCTAATGTGTTTGAGATAAAAACCAAACAATTACATTTATCGTTTAACATATTGTAGGTTACAGAGGTTCAATGAACATTAGTCTGAAGTTTCTGTGTTCTTTTCAAATACGATATGAAATTAAAATTATGCATCTTTAATATTTCATTATATCTGACTATTCGTGAATTGATCATAAATTAAACATAAAACTTTACATGTAATAAAAGTAAGCTATAAACTGTTATGTTCGATTCTTTTTCTAGAATACTGGATCATGAATTTGAAGTTAGTTTTCCTAAGTAAATGCAGAAGCAAAGAACAAAATGGACAGCTTGGAATCAATTAGAAGATTTTAACTTGCCAGATAACCTATCACTTATATCCCGTACACATCAACAAATACAGATGAAAACAATCAGCCTAACAGCAGTCCCTGCATCAGTAGGCTTCAACATACACAACAGAAAAATCAAGATCCTCAAATATCACATGGAAAACACCAAACCAACTGCATTCGTTGGAGAAGGGTTGGAAGATGTGGAATCTTTCATGTACCTTGACAGCATCATCGATGAACAAGGAGGACCCGATGCAGACGTAAAATCATGGATTGACAAAGTAAGGGTAGCATATGGAACTCATTACAACTGTTAACTAATATCAAAGTGAGAATCTTCAGTACGAACGTCAAGACAGTTCTGCTGTATGGAGCTGAAACCTAGAGAACTAACACAACCACAATTGATTGATCACCACCCAGTGATCAATCAATTGTGATTACATCTCAGTTCTACAAGAGGTTAGTCACGGCTCGGATAGCTCAGTGGTAACGTCTCTGACGGTGAAGCTGGGTGACACGAGATCGAATCCGTCAGGGAGCACCAGTTCCCTCAAGATTACAGGTACACCTTGCTGACGAGTGCCAAGTAGCACGAAACCCGGGTCCAGGGTTTCCTGTTGACTACCTCCAACTACCATCTAACTAACACAAACATTATCAAAAAAGCACAATTATTTATAAACGGTTGTCTACACAAGATACTGAATGTCCGTCGGTTGAATACCATCATCAACAGCCTACAATGGGAGAGAAACAAACCAGCATCGAGCTGAAGAGTAAATTAGGAAAACACGTTGGAAGTAAATAGGACATACATTACGGAAATCATCAAACCAAATCACGAAGCAAGCACTAGCTTGGAATCATGAATGGAAACAGAAAAGTTGACGACCAAAGAAGAATACTTGAAAGGACGAATAGCGACTGGGAGCAACTGGAATGAATTATCCAGGGCAGAGTTGAATGGAGAATTCTGGTAATAGACCTATACTCCTCCACGTGGTGTCACAGACATAAATAATTAAATAAGAAAAAACACATAATTTACATCTCCATCTTTATGATTGCTAAACGTTTATACTATTCATTTGTGTTTTTGTCCTAAGTTTTAATGCATCATAGCTCTGTGAAATTCAAGTATATTTAAATAAACAAATCCATAAGTGTATTTTTATTAGCTACTACCGTCTAATGAAAATGTAATTGACGTTTTAGTTTACCAAATTTTGCATGAGGATATAATTCAAGTGTAGTTTAATCCGAAAATTGATAAAGATTCATCCAGTAAATATAAACATTGTTTCTATGACTAATTCTTTTGTGTAAACGAAAATAAAACGTTTGATAAATAAATAGAAAATTAAATGAAAATACAACCTGAATCAGAATTTTGCTTGTTTATAAGTAATTTAATTCTATGCTTATTTATGTTTATCTAGTTACGTTACAAAAATACAACATCATTGAAGATTAGCATGGCCCTGCTCAAGGATGACACGCAAAATCGTGAAGCGTTCCGTATATTTTTGCCCATAAATGCCCTGGTACGGCCGAAATGCTCTCACATGGCTACATGTATACAGCCGCTGTCAGGGAAGTCCTACTCACTGTCTTCTGTTGGCGGGGGAGGGTTGTTTACAAAAGTGAGAAGACTAAAAGCGAATGTCCGGAGCTTTAACCGGATTGATGGAAATGGAGGATTCACCTAGAGTAGTTGGAAAACCCTAATTCCAAACCGATAATGCAAATTAGCTTCAGGATCGTGAAGCAACAAATGGTGTGTGAATCAGGTATTCGTGACCGGCTACCATGAGACTGTATCTCCTAACGTTGCTCCACTACCTTGTGGACCAGACCTTAAAGTTAAAGGCTCCGGTGTGATTCCATAAGAAAACCACCTGCTTCTGTTTGGGCACTTAGGCAGTATCATAGCCCACACCTAAATCATGTGACTTATGTGATGCATATGTATTCGGTACCCCTTTGTACCAATATTTATGTGCTCAAATAAATAAATAAATATAAATTTTGTATTGAAATTCCGTTCGATGAAACGAACGTTATTGACACTTATTTAATGGTTTTAGCTTAAATATCATGAACTGTTTTGTTGAGCAAAGTCAACAAAAACTAATTTTTAAAAGGTCAGTATATATAAGCAATGATGGATAGGGGCTAACAGTGGAATCCAGGACGAGTGTTTCGTCCTAGCCACTATCCATCATTGCTTATAAAAAGCTTGTGAATTAAGGCAATATCGAGGCACACGCACAGTATGCACATATGCCAATAACAGACTGATCACTTGCAGTCTTAAACCTCAATGGGAAGATACAAGCTAAACAATACCAAGTGAAGTCAGTATATGTAACAGTAACCATGAAGTTCGCTTGGTGTATATTTATGATCTAAGTTGACCGAAGGAATTACACATAAATAATAAGTTTCAGAGTGTAATGTTACATAAAATTAGATGTTCCATCCTTATTAAAAACTAATAAATGTATTTTGTAGATATTATAGATGATCACAAGTGTATTTATTACGAGATAGGATGCAGTTACAGTTGATGGATCAAACTATTGACATAAATTTTTACTTTAACCATCATGAAAACATCGAATTCAGAATAGAGAAGATTATGTTTTCCATGGCAGCTTTTATGTCTAGTGAAAATACTAAAGAAACTGATTGATTGAAATTACACATGAACACTATTGCACTCTGGTAAGCGCAAGATACTCAACATCCATTGGCCGGATACCGTCAGCAACAGCCTTTTGAGGGAGAGGACAAATCAGCTTCCAGCTGAAGAAGAAATTAGGAACAGACGATGGAAATGGATAGGACATACATTACGCAAATCGTCAAACTGCATCACGAGACAAGCCCTAACTTGGAATCCTGATGAGAAGTGGAACAGATGAAGGCCTAAGAACACATGACGTAGGACAATAGAAGCAGATATGAAAAGGATGAATAACAACTGGAAGGAGCTGGAAAGGATTGCCCAGGACAGGGTTGGATGGAGAATGCTGGTGAGCGGCCTATGCTCCTTCACGAGGAGTAACAGGCGTAAGTAAGTAAGTAAGTAAGTAAGTAAGTAAGTAAGTAAGTAAGTAAGTAAGTAAGTAAGTAAGTAAGTAAGTAAGTAAGTAAGTAAGTAAGTAAGTAAGTAAGTAAGTAAGTAAGTAAGTAAGTAAGTAAGTAAGTAAGTAAGTAAGTAAGTAAGTAAGTAAGTAACCATTGCACTCTGAACAAATGATCAAGAGGTTAAGAGCAAAAAAAGTGATCGAATATCATCGGTTCAATTTACAGTAGGATCATTGAAAGCCACTACTAAGGATTATTGTGCTAGGTACAAAACAAGATTTTGGTGTTTTCTAGTTTTCAATAGTTTTATAACTATAATTAATCCGTAATGAAGATTGTGAGGGATTTAGGCAGTTAAATGGATCATTATGTATTGTCTTACTCCGTAATTCTTTTATTGAGCCACATATATGTTTATCACATTATAAAGAAACGGAATTTTATCTGTCTTATTACATTCCCAATCACACGTTAGCCTTGCAAAATTCATCTCGCCCATACAAACCTACTGAGTGATACTAAATTCAAAAGTGATCATGTAGAAGCGTTGTGCGTGTTTTGAATAAGTAACGCTTTGCCAGAATATAGTATCTGAAAAACCAAACTGGAAGCAATGAAATACCCAAATTCCTACTGAACACATTTAGTGTAAATAAGAAAAAACGTTAATATTGATTTATAACATTTTAGTCGACTCCCTTTAATCGTAATGCAGAAAGGCGTTGCTAAGCACTTCATGCGAATGATTTAAGTTAGACAAGGAAGACAACTGATCACAATCCTATAAAAATATTGAAATCAGATAATCTATGTGATAATTAATGAATTAATCAAGCAGTTGAAATCTTTCTTGGCCACATTTTACCTACTGATTAAATGATCAGTAGTAAAACAAAACAATTACGTTTTTTGGCAATGTCGAACGAATCTGTTTACGAAGGTCCATATTCATATACTGTATTAGTTCATCCTTCTTATTTAAGAACGATAGAAAATTACTATGGCATATTCCGATCAACAATGTTTGATTTTGATTTTGATTAATACACGTTCAGTATATAGTAAGACAAAAAACTATCTCTTCATTAGTTTTGAGACAATTGGGAAATCGCGATATTACCCGAACCAATAACCCCTTTTGACCACTAAGCCGATATAGAACGGTTTAAACGCCCAACTTTGTTGTTTAATCATATTATTCTAAGCAATGCCATTGATTAGTGTTATAACTACGAAAACTGCTGTAATACTTGAAACAAGGAAGTCATTTGGATGTTGAATTACTTATTATCTTGAATAAGGATTTATAGTATATAAATTTGTAGTATATAAATATCAAGACAAAAAAGATTTAACTCATTCTGAAAAAGGCATAAAACCCAACCAAAAGCGACATTGTATATACATTAGTTTGGAGACAATGGTCAAGAATAGAATATCATCAATATCAGTACCTTTAAAGTTGACAATTTTTAAGACCTAGTAAAATGGATCATGAATTTCAGCGTTTGTGAACGCAAAATGACAGGAGGACTTGGAAACTAAATTTATAATGATATTAATTTCAACTGGGTAGTAACTAATGTAAATGGATCAATAACTTATTGTGTGAACACATGATTACAATATCATACA